GAAAAAAAATATTCTATAAATAAATAAAGGGGTGCGTTAACAGGGATGCATGGCGCATGTCAATTTGTATACTCGTCGAACGGAACGTGAACGAAAGTAACGATTCTTTACGACAGCTGAATACAATATTCATCCACACGAATCCCTGCATGAAGCACCTGTTTGTCGTAGGCGGGAGAGCCAGGACCTATTTAGATTCGGAACGTAATCGATGCACAGGTGATATGTCGCCGCCATCGGATAATGTCATCTTCGATAATCAGTGTTACGCGACCACGCCGAGTTCCTCCAATGGAAACTCGGACATGGAGCAACCGACGCACTGCAATTCCCGTCGTTGCAACGGTAGCCAGGCTTATCAACAGCAGAACATGCAATCGGTGTCGACCCCCGGAAGCCCTACCAGCAGGCTATTGCTCGAGTACGAGATGCATCTGAGGAACACACTTGCCAAGGGTATGGACGCTGAGAGTTACAGTTTACGCACTTTCGAGGCGTTGCTCACTCAAAGCATGGAGGATTTAGGTGAGTCCAATTTTTCCAAAGCCAAATTTTTCCCTCCTTTCTCACTTTTCTCTTCTCTTCTGTTCGCGAAAATCAATTTCGAAATTCGATTTGTTTCAGAATTCGCGAAAAATATACCGTTGAACACTCAACGTACGCCTCACGTTTCACGAAGACGTAAGTTTCCTTATCTCTTAGTCGTAACGCTCGTCCCATTTCCCAAATGTGTTTGCACGTGTTCGCGCGCACCTGCGAATCGAATTTACGAGCGTTTCAACTTGATCCCTATTGGTCGTTCGTCGCTATAGAAACGGATAGCGCGGATTCCTTCCCAATTCGTTTCTTTTTCTCCGTACGTACGTGTACGTAAAGCCTCGTTGCTCTTCACTTTCCAGGTTCAAGTTCCAATAAATCGTCGACGTTACCGTTGTCGTATCGTTACGAAAGGCAGAATAGCAAGGACAGGGACGGTTATTACAGCGATCGTAACGAAATGATCAGGGAGAAGAGGGACAGGGAAATCGATCGGGATCGCGGATACCTCAGCGATTATAATTCGAGGCAAGTTGAAACATTCGAAATATTTCTTCCGAAATATATCTCTTCTCATTGCATCTCGAATAATTCGGGGAGCGGGAGAAGGGCAAACTGTATTCTAAACTATCGTCGAATGACGTTAGATATATATATATGTATATATTTTTTTTTTTGGTTGAAAATTGAAGATGCACCAGCTGCGTAGGGGAGTCCGCACGCGCGCAATGGTTTCGACATTCGGACGGATGGCAATCCGGCAGTTCGACCCTCGGCTCCGGCGCCTCAAGCTCGATAAATCCGAGCTACACGGGCCACAAACGGGACTCCCCCTGGGATTCTTTGCCATCGTTGAGACACGAGGGCAGCCTTAACGACAGCGGATACAAATCGAATCGGACGGATTCTTTGGAGCAAAGGTGAACATAACAATATAATTAAATAATAATAATTTTCTCGAACGAAATCTCGTGAACGAATCGTAGAAAAAAAAAAAAAAAAAAAAAAAAAAAAAGAGAAAAAGAATGGGTTAGCATTATTATTATTACTATTATTATTATTATATACGTTAGCAAGTAACGTATCTTCGAGATGTAACACTTTGTGTATGTGTGTGTGTGTGCGCGCGTGCGTGTGTGTGCTTTTTTTTTTCTCACTTTCCAGAGGCACTTTCGATAGACAGGACAGCGTGAGATCGGATTATATGTCCGATCGGGATGGCAGATACGGAATTGTTCAACAAGCTTCCCTGGAGAGCACAGACTCGAGAATTTGCTACTTGACGTCCTCAGAGGTGAGTAGTTGTTGACCTTATCAACCCGATATATCAATATCCCACTTCAGCAATTTCTCTATTGCCTTCGGTTAACCGAACATTTTACAAGATGGAAATAATAATACCCCTTTTGGAGTATGGGCTCCCGACGATAAGAATTTTTACGCGTCGTCGTAATCGAAAGGAAGCCGTGTCGAATCCAATGTTTAATCGACGAGACTTGGACGCGTTCGAAAATTGAGAAATACGACGAATTACGACGCGGGGGGAACGCGATTGGGAAGGGAGAAGGGAGGGAAAATTTATTTTTCTTTTTTTTTTTCTCTTTTTTTTGAAAAATTTTTCTCACGCGAAAAATAATTCCCGTTTCGCATCCCGAATTTAGAACCTATAGACGCGCGGATAAATAAATAAAATTTTATTTATAATTCAGCCGTAAAGTAAATGTCATACAGGTATGAATATATATATATATATATATACACATACATATATATATGAAGCTATATTATACTATATATTTTTTATATATAGCGACCAATGGAGAAAGGATCATGCATGTTAATGAATACAAAGAATCGCGCGGGCATCGATATATAGCGGAAAAAAAAGTCACGTATCTATCCGTTGAACGTCGATAACCTACTGACCCTGTCTACTCTACACATGTCTTGCACGAGTCACCTTTCAGCCTATTTCTATATGCACATACTCGTACTTGAACGTACTTGCTGCTACGCGATGCTTATATCCTTCTTTTTTCCGTTCATTTTTTTTTTTTTTTTTTTTTTTTTTTTTTATAACGCGACATATATCGACAAAGTATTAACAAACGAAGGGGGCAGGGTGAATTTGCTATTCCTGTACGATACATGTACTACGTATACATACAGATTTACACGTATTCCTTCTTTCCTCCCTTTCCAACATATATTCATCATACGTATGTATATATATATATATATATATATATAAACACATATATNGGTGACACTCGCCAAGATCGTCTGGTTGCTTACGCGTCGTCGGGTTGTTCGGTGGCCACGATTCATTGTTGAAACGTTAAATTGTTGTTTTTCCCAACATCGTTGATAGTGAAGTATATGTATATATATATATATATGTATGTATGTATGTATGTATATATATGTATATATAGTTGGATATACGTGCACGTATATACGAGCGTGTACGTATATATGACTGCGGTTCGACTGTTTGGATATCTACAGTTACGGGAGGCCAGGGTCGGTGGAGCTGCAACGAAAGGAGATTGTTTTTACGTTGGATAGATTTTAGGAGATATCCCATCGGAAGGATTGAATTTTACTTGTACTCACTGTTCGACACGTGCTGGCTCACGTGGTGTTGGAAAACGAGCAACGAGCAACTATGAATCTCTTGAGTTGAGTTGTTGTTTCCATTGATTCTTTTTTTTTTTTTTTTGACGTTTCGCGTGTGTACACGCGAATGATCTTAGGGTACCTGGTATAAATATATATATATATATATATTATATTTTCGTTCTCCTCTCTGCTCGACTTAGCAACGATTTTCCAAAAAAAAAAAAAGAATATATATATATGTATATGTAGATTTATGAATTAAAGAGAGAGAGAGAGAGAGAGAGAATATAGGAAGAGAATATACAAATATTTCGACGAATGTTTTTTTTTTCCCCGAAGTACAAAGGAAGAGTGAAGAATTTTGGAACAGATGAATGGATGAATGCGAAGAATGAAAAAGGGATAAATGGAAGGGGAAGAGAAATGAGGGGGCAAAGGATTTGCAGAGGAGATTATTAATTTTAATGATAAATAAGAGGAAGAGAGGAGGGCAAAGTACGTGATTCGTTGTAGATTATATTACAATGTAAATACAACGCTAAAAAGAGAACGTGATAACCGAAGATGTAAAATATTTTTATACAGAGAGATCCTTTCTACGCGTATATTGCAAAAGTATTCTATATATATATATATATACATACATATATATATATTTATCTTTGAGAAGGAAGAAGAAAAACTTATCGATATTACTTTAAGAGAAGAGTATATAAGAATTTTTTGAAATAATCTGTTTCTGTTCGTCGAGTCCGACACCTCCCCTCCCCCTTTAAGGATATCTCATTTATCGCTTGAACTCATTGAAGGGATCGATGAAAGAATATCGAACGAAGAAGGAGAGAATTTTGCGACAGCTGTGAGTGATATAAAAGAAGAAGAGAGTGGATAAGAAGGATAGAAGAGATCCTTTTGAAATTAATAATAATAATAATAATAATAAAAAAAAAAGAAAGGAAAGAAATCAAATATAGTACAAGGTTATATATTCGTGAAATCGTCGATTTTTTTAAAAATAGATTCGTGTTCTAGTTTTACGAAGCAGAAAATAATAATAAAAGAAAAAAAAAGAAGAAGAAGAAGAAGGAGGAGGGATCCTACAGTAGTGATCTGTAAAAGTGCAAAAACGATTTGCCTTAAGAAAAGTAGAGTAATTATCGAATGTACAAATATAATAATAATAATAATAATAATAATAATAATAATAATAATCGAAAGATATTTTCCATCTATCGATCTTCGTATTACACACCTTATATAGCTTTCCCATATGCTGCTTAACGAGCACGTTAGAAGAAGGAAATATCGCTCGTGTCGTGTTTCGAACGAAAACAACGTCGCACGTTGTGACGTGTGAATTATTGAAAAAAAAAAAAAAAAAAAAAGGGAGAAAGAAAAAAGGAAAAATAATTAAAGAGATATATCCCATGCTTCCCCCCCCCCCCTTGTCTGTCATCCCCTCGTCGTCTTATCTTATCTTACATCATACACGATATACGAACCGGAATTGTTTCGAATTGTTGTTCGAGATAGAAGAAAAGAGAAAAAGAAAAAAATGCTTGAAAATATAATATATCGAAGCGTCACCGATTGAGAGGAGGAGGATGCACAATGCACGACGACTGTGCCTGTTTTACTTCGTGTGCACGTTCGTGATCAAGATGTTGCATCTGTTGAGAAAACTGTTCGAGCCGTATACGATAACGTTCACCAAGAAGATAGTGCAAATTTTCAATAGGAGGGAAGAATTCGCGTGAACTCGCGATCCGATATTGCGTAAAGCATACGAATAGAAAACGAAGGAAGCGGCCATCCCCATCCCATCCCAGTTACGATGATTCGTGCAACGTTGGGCAATCTCGAAACTGTCCCCTTTTGCACAGTGAGCGATGGAAAATGGATACTGATTCCTCGACCTCGAATCGAATTAAATAACGAGGAAATCTTTCCCGTGCACGATTGAATTACGACGAAATTAATCGTTATCGTCGATTCTTTCACCCCTATTCCTCCTCCTCCTCCTCCCCCCGTCCAAAAGACAATAATAATAATAATAATAATAATAATAATAATAATAATAATAATAATAATAATAATAATA